TGCAGCGGCGGGACGGGAGGAGTCTGGGGGGGGGGGGGGGGGGGGGGGGGGGGCACCACCCCCCCGACCCCCCCCCCCCGCGCTCGAGCGGGGGGGGGCGGGGGGGGAGGTGGGCGTGCGGTGTGAGCGGCACCCCTTCCCTCCCCGCCAGCCGGAGGGGTCCCAGCAGCACGCCCTGCCCCCCCGCCCCCCAGCATGGCGCAGTGGCAGGAGGTGCAGCAGTTGCCCCCCACCCACCTGGAGCGCGTTCACCAACTGTACACCAACGCCGCGCTGCCCATGACCGTCCGGCAGAGCCTGGCGGACTGGATCGAGGACCAAGACTGGTACTGGGGGAACCGTGGGGCGGGGGGATACCGTGGGGCCATGGGGGGTCCCCGTGGGGCAGGCACTGAGCGGTCCCGCAGGCAGCAGGCGGCCGAGCCCTTTTCGTCCCACGCGCGGATGCTGTTCCATTCGCTGCTGACGCTGCTGGGGGAGCAGCTGGGCAGCCTGGGGCCGGGGGATGAGGACTTCATGCTGAAGCACAACCTGCGCAAGGCGCGCATCGACCTGCAGGTGGGTGGCTGGGTGGGGGGGGGGACGGGGGGTGGATCTATGGGTGCAATGGGAACTTGATGCGCACTGACAGCCCTCCCCCCCGCGCACCCCACAGGCTGCCTTCGAGGAGCACCCCGAGAACTTTGCCAACCTGGTGGCCAATCTGCTGCAGGAGGAGCGGTGCGTCCTGCGGAGGGCGCAGGCGAAGGGGCAGGTAGGGTGGGTTCCCCCCCCCTGCCGGCAGAGCTGAGCCACCCGGTGCCTGAACCCCCCCTGTCTCATAGGCGGAGACCCCCCCGGCACCCAGCACGGCCCCACAGAGCAGCCAGGAGCAGGAGATCCAGCAGCGCCTGGCTGAATTCCGCACCGCCCTGCAGGTAATTTCTCCCCGGGGTCCCCCAGCCCATGGGGGTGCGCAGACCCTCACTCCCCCCCAATCCCCAGGAAGCTGAGCGTGCATTCCGACACATGGAGGACCTCCAGGACACCTTTGACTTCAGCTATAAGATGTACTACATGCCGGGTAAGGCTGCGCCTCGGGGGGGGAGGCACAGCCAGCGCTCCCTGCACCCCCTAAAGCCCCTCCCCACCGCTGCAGGCCAGGACCACTCCCACGACCCGCAGTACGCGCAGCACATCCAAGCACTCCAGGCCAAGCTGCAGTCCCTGGACCGGCAGCGGCGGGTGAGCAAGGGCAGAGCCGGGCCATGGGGACGGGGGGGGCACAGCTGCGGTGCGCCCCCAGCCAGACCCGGTGTCCCTGCAGGAGGTAGTGGCACAGATTCAGCAGCTGCTGGGGCGCAGCGAGACCCTGCGGGACTTCCTGCAGCAGGAACTGAGCGCGTGGCGTGAGAGGCAGCAGCGCAGCTGCCTGGGAGCCCCCGCTGATACCTGCCTGCTGCAGCTGCAGGGCTGGTAGGGGTGGGCTGGGGGGGCGGGGGGAGGGGGGGGGGGGCCGTGCTCTGCTGACCCCCACCGCCTGCAGGTTCACGGCGCTGGGCGAGGGGCTCTTCCAGCTGCTGCAGCTGCTGCGGGCAGCAGGAGAGCTGCGGCAAAAGGTGACCTACGAGCAGGACCCGCTGCAGTCAGAGCTGCCGCTGCTGGAGAAGCGGCTGCAGGAGCAGCTCACCTGCCTGCTGCAGAGGTGGGGGACGCGGCGCGGGGGGGCTGGGGATGCGATGGAGCTGCTCTGAGACCCCCCCCCGCCCGCAGTGCCTTCGTGGTGGAGCAGCAGCCCTGCATGCCCAACACCCCCAAGCGCCCGCTGGTGCTGCGCACAGCCAACAAGTTCTGCACGCGCGCCCGCCTGCTGGTCCGCCTGCATGACCGCAACCACCGCATGGAGGCCAACATCCACATCGACAGGTCGGGGGCTCCGGGTCCCGCCGCCCCCCGCTGGGGTCCTGGGCCACGCTCGCAGCTGACTCCGTGTTGCCTTTTGCAGGGACCCGCCGAAGACGCGAGGGTGAGAGCTGAGTGCCGGCAATGGCGGCAGGAACGGGACCGCAGGGGGGATTCCTGGTGTCCTCAGAGGAGCATCAGCATCCCCGGGGGGTGTCGGCTGCAGCGGCCCCCATCTGCATCCTCCCTTTGCCCCACAGCTTCCGCAAATTCAACATTCTGACCTCGAGCAGCAAAACCGTCCTGGTTGGGGACAGCCCCCGGGAGGGGCTGGTCTGCGACTTCCAGTACCTCGTATGCGTCCCCCTTCCTGCGCTGGGTCCTCCCCATCTGGGACCCCTGCTTGGGTCCTCTCCATCCCAAGCCCCACCTGACCCCCAGCCCCACTTTGACCTCCCCCACCCCCCCGCAGACGCTGAAGGAACAGAAGGGCGGAGGATCAGGCAAAGGCAGCAGAGGCACCAATGAGGTGGGTGTGGGTTTTGGGGAGGGGGCGCAGGGTGAGCAGTGGGCGACGGTTCCCATCCTGTGCAGGGTCCTCTGGCTGTGACTGAGGAGCTTCACCTCATCACCTTCACGCTGGCGTATGCATACTGCGGGCTGGAGCTGAAGCTGGAGGTGAGTTTTGGGGAGGGATGTGTCTGGGTGTCGGGGCTGCCCGTAATGAACCCCGCTCCCCCCACAGACCTCCACGCTGCCCTTCGTCATCATCTCCAACAACAACCAGCTCTCCAGCGCCTGGGCCTCCGTGCTCTGGTTCAACATGCTGAGCCCCAACCCCAAGGCAAGCAGCCCCCATGCTGTCCCCCCTGCCCCCTCACCCCTGCCTGACCCATCGCCCCACATCCCAGTCCTAGTGTTCCATCCCTGTCTCTGTGTCCTGTGCTGTGTCTGTTCCCATGCTCTGGCCCCTGTGCTGGTCTCACCCCACGCCCTATTCCATTTTCCGTACATCTGTCCCATGTGTTTGTCCTCCTCCCATCCCTGCCTGTCCCCCCATCCATCTCAGTCCCATCCCTTCCTCCGCTGCCATCCCTACAGGACCAGCAGTTCTTCTCCACACCACCCCCAGCCCCGTGGCCCCGGCTGGCGGAGGTGCTGAGCTGGCAGTTCCAGAGCACAGCTGAGCGTGGCCTGAGCCGGGAGCACCTGCACATGTTGGCTGAGAAGCTCTTCGGTACGGCCCCGCATCCCTGAGCCCCCCGGCCCCAGCCCAGCCCCCCTCACTCACCCTATTCTGCGCCCCCCCCAGGCTCAAAGCCATCTCCGGAGAGCGCCTTGCCCTGGACCAAGTTCTCCAAGGTGAGCCGTGCCCATCCCACGTGTCCCCGTCCCTCCTGACTCGTCCCCATCTCACACATCCCCATCCCACATCCTCATGTCCCCATCCTGCAGGACGGTGCTGCAGGTTTCTCCTTCTGGGCCTGGCTGGACGGGATCCTGGCGCTGCTGCACGACCACCTGAAGCAGCTCTGGAAGGATGGGTACGGCCTGGGTGCAGGGGGGTCGGGCTGCGGGGCTGCAGGAGCTGACCGTGCCCCCACCCCCCCCCCCAGGCTCATCCTGGGCTTCGTGAGCCGCAAACAGGAAAAGAAACTGCTGAAGGTGAAGCGGTCGGGGACGTTCCTGATTCGGTTCAGCGAGAGCACGCTGGGGGGGGTCACCTGCACCTGGGTGGAGCACCCTGAGAGCGGTGAGCGCAGCCCCGGACCCCCCCTCGGTCTGACCTCACACCCACCGCTGACCTCCCACCCCCCCCATAGGACCCCCCGCCTTCCGTGCTGTTGTCCCCTACACCGCAGCCGAGCTGGCGTCGCTGGCGCTGCCCGACATCATCCGCGATTACCAGCTGCTGGCAGAGGAGAACATCCCCGAGAACCCGCTGCTCTTCCTCTACCCTGACATCGCCCGTGACGAAGCCTTCGGGCCCTACTACAGCCAACGGCACGAGGGTACGGCGCGTGCAGCACGGCACGGCTTGGGGGGCAGCGCCCACTGCCCCCTTCCAACTGCCCTCCCTGCCCCCAGGGATCCTGACCAAGAAGAAGGAATACCTGAACCAGCGCCTCATCCGCGTATCCTCCAGGTGAGCCCCCCCCCCTCGCCCCCAGCCCCACAGGGATGGACCCCCTCACCCCCCACCCGACCTCCATCCCCCGCTGTGCCCACAGGCAGCCCCACGAGACGTGGCAGACGCAGGAGGAGTTGGTGGTGGCCACGGAGGACCTGGAGACGCTGCAGTTGAAGGGCGGTGGGCAAGAGCCTGTGAGCCCAGGGACGCTGCTGGGGGGGAGCCGGACCCCCGGGACACCTCAGGCCGTGAGCCCGGGGCTGCAGCAGGTGGTGGCCGCAGTCCCGGTGCTGCCATCCTTGCAGCCACTGGGATCAGGGGGTTTGGGGGTGCTGCAGACAGGGATGGGGGACCTGGGGCAGCCCGTTGTGCTGCAGCTGCTGCCGGCGGCGCCCGGGGGGGCAGGGGGTGCTGCCCGTGGAGGGCAACGCCATAGGGCCGCTGCTGGGGAGCGGTGCTGCAGAGCTGCTGTTGGACGACGGCGCCCTGGGGCTGCAGCCGTCGGGGCTGGAGGAGCTGGAAGGGCTGCCGCTGCAGGAGCCGGCGCTGGAGGCTGTGGAGCTGCTGCCCGCCCTGGACGGTGCGTGGATCCGACGGTGGGTGCTGGGGGCCGTGGGGCTGGGGATCAGTCGGCGCTGACCCCCCCCCATCCCACAGACGGCGCCGCGCTCCTGGACTCCAGCGACCCCTTCCTGCCGCAGCCCGAGGACGCGGCCCTGCCCGCCGCCGCTTCCCTCTTCACCGCGGACGGCGATTTCCCACCGCTCCACATCGACGCCAGCGACTTCCAGTGACCCCTCCCGGCCCCTCGTGTAAATAAACCCTTTCCTCCCCATCAGCCCGCGGTGCTGTTAGGGCGGCCCCGGTGCGGCGTTGTAGCAGAGAGCGGCTCCTCGTTGCCCTGCCCTTTATTAGAAACCCATAAATACCCCGTATAAATAGGGAGCGCGGCACATAAATAAGAAATAAATTAAGGGGGGGCGGGGGGTCAGCGGGCGCTGGCGCTGTGGGTGAAGACGCGGCTCATGACGGCGGTGAAGGAGCGGAGCCGCTCCAGCGTGTCGTGCTGCAGCAGCGGCCGGGCCCAGGGGTCTGCGTGGGGGGGCGTGGGGGCCTGGCAGGAACGGATGGGGACCTGCAGGGAGAGAGGGGTCAGGGGGCTCTGGGTCGGGGTTGATGTTAAGGTCGGGGTCGGGGTCGGGGTCAGCTCACCTGCACGCGGCCCAGCAGCTCCTCCAGCACCGCCTTCAGCTCTGGCTGCGGGCGTGCGGCGAAGATGTCGGAGCCCAGCATGGCCTGGTAGTGCTGCAACCCCTGCAGGATCCGCTGCAGGCAGAGCTGGGGGTTGGGGTGGGGGGGAGGCTGTGAAGATGCTGGGCTTCTGAGCACGTCCCCAAAGCGACCCCCAGGGAACTTGTGGACCCCAACAGCCCCGAGACCCCCAGCTTGTCCTGGTGCCCTGACCCCCAGGTTACCCTGACATCTCCAACCACATCGCTTGGGTGCTTCCGAGATGCCCCCAGGAACATCTCCAGCATCACTGCTCCCCCCCCTCCCTCCCCCAGTACTCTCTTAGTGCTTCTGGGGCCCCCAGCACCCCTGAGACCCCCTAGGACCCTTCAGACATTGCAATGCACCCCAGAGCATCCACGCACCCCACAAGACCCCCTGGGCTTTGGCTACAAGGATACCCCTGGCCCCCCCCCCCCACCCCTTTTTTTTTTTTTTTTTTTTTTTTTTGTTTGTGTCCAGCGTGGAGGGGTCACAGGCATCACTGCAGCGGATGCGGGGGGCACAGTCCCCCTCAGAGTCCTCCTCTCCACCCAGACGGACCGCATCCTGACAGCAGGGTTAACAGGGTCCCCATAGCACCTTGGCTCTCCCCAGGCAGCCAGAGCATCGCAGTACCCCCAGATCCTCTGTGCCCCATAGCTCCGGTTCCAGGAGCATCCCCGGTTCTCTCGGGTCCCTGAGCGTTTCCAGTTCCCTGAGTATCCCCAGTTCCTGGAGCAGCCCCGGTTCGCCGAGTGCCCCCTGTTCTCCCCATTCCTGTAGCATCCCTCGTCTCCCCGTCTCCCCGCCCCTCCAAACTCCGTCCCGGCTCTCACCAGCGCCCGGTGCGACTCCTTCATCGTCCCCAACAGCCGCGACAGCCGCTGGGAGAGGTCCCTGCAGGCGGCCCAGTCGGTGCTCGGAGCCGGGAACGGGACCGCGGGCGGCAGCAGCATCGCCGGCAGGCAGAGTGCGAGCAGGAGGCGGCGGAGCGGGGCCATGGCCGAGCGGGTCCGATCGGGTCAGTGCGGCCACCGGCGGATCCATCGGCTTTTATGGGGCGGCGGCAGGTGGGGAATCCCCGGGGCAGGTGGCACCCGCCCCCCGTTACTGCGAAATCGCCGCCTCCCCCGAAAGCAGAACCGATACCGGGCCGGGGTCCCCGGGCTGCGCCCCGCCGCGCCCGCTCCGGCTCCGCGCCCCGACGGGACGGGCAGGAAAACCCGGGGCAGTTCCTGGTGGCTCCACGCCCGGCGGCCGCGCGGACGGAGCCGAACACACCTGAGCCCGCACCGCACCGCATCGCTCCGCTCGGATCCGCTCCCGGGACGCGGTGGGACGGGACGGGCGCGGTTCCGCACACTGCAGGGCGGGCCGGGGCGGGCCGGCAGGTGTCCCGCAGTGCTTCCCCGATGTCCCCACGTCCCCGCTCCGTATGCCCGGTACCCACAGGGGAAACTGCTGCGGCGGTCCCGGTGCTGCCCCGCTCGCCGCTGCCTCGGGACACCCGGCTGCTCCCCCCCAGCCCCCGTTTTCCCCGCGTTGCCCGCGGCTCCGCAATCGCGGCGGCCCCGACAGGGCGGCTCCTGCGCTTCCCGGTCCCCGCCCGGAGGGGCTGCCCCCGGCCTTCCCCAGACACGGCCCCCCTCGACGGGCTGCGTCCTCGCCGCGTACCGACCCCGGGGCTCAGCGGCTGCCTGACCCTCGGTCCCACCGGGACCCCCACAGGGGGCGCCGTGTCCTGAGCTCCGGTTCGGGGATGGGGTCTGTGATCCCGCTCTCCACCGCCCTCCGGTTCCCCACTGCTGAGCTCCACGGGAGCGTCCCCGTCCCCGCGGGGCTCCGGGGGGCGAGGAAAGCGTTGCGGCACCGCTGAGCGTGAGGAGGGCTTCGCGGTCACGGACCGGGGATACCGGGAGAGGACAGTGTTGGACACGGCGAGACAGTGTGTCAGCGGGGACAGTGCAGGGGGCCTCCGGGGGGCCGTGGCACATGGAACATTCGGGGCTCCGTGGGGGGTCCCGGAGCCCCCGGCCTGGCCGCGGTGCCGGGTGGGAACACAGCGCTGCCCGGACCACCGCTCCCGCATCGCGAAACGCCATCCACGGTTTTCTGGCCCCTCCGTCGCACCGTCCGGCACGAACGCTTTGTCCCGCCTCTCTCAGGCGTTGATTGGCCAGCGCACGAGACTCCGCGCTGCCATTGGCTCGCCGGCCCCGAGATCGGGCCGACTTCCGGTCCGGACGGCGGGGGGTGCGGTTGCCATAGCGACGTGAGGAGGGGCGCGGCGGGACGGGCCGGGTCGCTCCCGGCGGGCTCCGCCCGGGGCCGTTCGGTAACGGCAGCGTTCGGCGCTCCACGTGACGGCCGCCGCCGCCGCTCCCGCCGTGCGCGGCAGCGTGGGATCCTTGGCCGGAGCGCGGGGGGTTGTGGGTAACGCTCCCGGTTGGGAGCTCCGCGGAAAGCGCCGGGCCCGCCGTGCTGGGCCGGCCCTAACCGGGCGCGCCTCGCAGCCAACGGCCGCGGGTCTGCGGGAGCCGATACCGCCCGCCCGCCCCGCGCCGGCCGCAGAGATAAGGGGCAGGTGCGGGGTTGGCGCGGCCCTGGGGGTGGAGGTGCAGGGCGGCCGCGCCCGCGGCTGTGGGGCCCCGGGAGAGGGGCGGGGGTCCGCCTTCCTACGGGCGCGGGGCAGCGGGCTCCGTCCTCGCGGCCGTGGCGCGGCGCTGAGCGCATCCGTGGGAGGGACTTTACGGTGCTGCCGCGGCGCCGCCCGTGAGCGCGGCCCGGAGAGGCGCGCCTTCTGCTCGGCGGAGATTCCAGCGCCTTTCCGTCGGCCCTACAGTCAGCGGCCCCGCGCGGTGTTTCTAAGAATCGCGGCCCTTGGTGTTTCTGACTGACCAACTTAGTTCCTTTTCTGTTCCGAAGGGAGACGTTGGTTTTCACCATGAATTTTGAAGGTCTCGACCCCTCCCTTGCTGAGTATGCTCCCACGCTGCACCCGGCGCTGGATCCCGTCCTGGACCCCCACCTCAACCCCAGCCTGCTGCAGAACGTGGAGCTGGACCCCGAGGGGGTGCCCTTAGAGGGCATTGCTGTGCCTGAGTCTGTGCACATCGTGGAGGGCATGTATAGCGAGCTGCACACCGCCGTCTCCGAAGTGGGCGTGCCCGTCTCCGTCTCCCATTTCGACCTCCATGAAGAAATGCTGTGGGTTGGGAATCATGGGGTAGGTGGCCCGAGGCGGCTGCAGCCCCAGACGTGTGTGCTCCAACCTGCTGGAGGCAGACTGGTGGTGAATGGAGCGCTGGCGTGGAGAGGGGCCTGAGCTGGAAATTCCGGCTTGTAACTGGGAATTGAGCCACGTAGATGCAGAGAGCTGGAAGTGGGTGACGTGTCCCGGAGCATGGGAAATGCTCGGCCTTGTTTGTCTGCCAAAGAGCCGCCAGGTGCTGCAGCCCTGACCTCTTGGGCTGGGGGAGCTTTTGGTTCTTTACTCACATCTGCCAAAAAAAGGAAAGTCTGAACAACCTCTCGTGGTTTTGTTGAGACAGAAGGGCAGGAATCCCTTCTCTAAGTGGCAGCAGGGCAGCCTGCTTCGACCCGACTGTTACGGAGTAGAGCAGTGCTTGCCTGTGTTGTCCCCAGGGTCTTGATGATCCTGTCCTGCTGCTTTTAGGGCCACGCCACCTCGTTCTTTGGCCCAACGCTGGAGCGTTACTCCTCCTTCCAAGTGAACAGCAGCGACGACATCCGGCAGATCCAGAGCCTGGAGAGCGGGGTCCTTTTCCTGACCAAAACCAACCTGAAGTGCATGTCACGAGGAGGCCTCATCATATTTGACTACCTGTGAGTGCTTTGCCCTGGCAGCTGAGAACGAGGGAACGGCAACAGTGCGTTTGTGGAGGAGTTCTCCGCTCCCTTCCTGCAGCGTAAAAGCTCAGCCTGGGAGGAGAACGAGGGCAGGATGGCAGATGCCTTCCCTGCTGTGTCCCGGAGCTCAGTGGGAGTGCAGAGGCTGTGCTTTCTCCTCCGCAGCATGGATGAGGCCGAGGACATGCACAGCCTCCTGCTGACGGACAGCAGCACTCTGCTGGTCGGCGGGCTGCAGAACCACGTGATCGAGATCGACCTCAACACCGTGCAGGAGACGCAGAAGGTACCGCCGGTGCCCGGCCCCGCGCCGCCTCCCGCGCTTTGCCTGCTGCTCACCTGCTGCTCTGTGCTTCCCAGTACACCGTGGAGGTGCCTGGCATCACCATCATGAGGCAGTCCAACCGCTTCTTCTTCTGCGGACACACCTCGGGCAAGGTGACGGCGCCGCGCCATCGGCCTCCTGACGCCCGGCTTCCCCAGGGTGCCCTGGGATCGGTTTCCCAGAGCTCACAGGGCTCCCCTTCGTACCCCTGCTTTACCTCCCAGGTCTCCTTGAGGGATCTGCGCACGTTTGTGGTGGAACACGAGTTTGATGCCTACTCGGGCAGCTTATCTGACTTCGACGTCCACGGGAACCTGCTGGTGACCTGCGGCTTCTCCAGCCGGATGAACGGCCTGGCCTGCGACCGCTTCCTGAAGGTGTACGACCTGCGCATGATGAGAGCCACCACCCCTCTGCAGGTCCACATCGACCCCTTCTTCCTGCGCTTCATCCCCACCTACACCTCCCGCCTGGCCATCATCTCCCAGACAGGTGGGGAAGCCGCTTTGCCCTGGACGGGGCTGTGGGGCGCTCGCTCTGCGCCCAGCCGGCGAGGGCCGTGCTGGGGGGGCGGCGTGCCGCTCTGCTCTCCTGCTCCCTGACGCCGCCTCGCCCCGCGCTTCCCTCCTGCAGGTCAGTGCCAGTTCTGCGAGCCCACCGGCCTGGCCAACCCGGCCGACATCTTCCACGTGAACACCGTGGGGCCTCTCATCATGACCTTCGACGTCTCGGCCAGCAAGCAGGCCCTGGCGTTTGGTGACTCTGAGGGCTGCGTGCACCTCTGGGCCGATTCCCCGGAGGTCACCTTCAACACCTACTCCCGGGAGACTGACTTTGCTCTGCCCTGCATCGTCGACACGCTGCCGCACCTGGACTGGAACCAGGACCTCGTGCCGCTCTCGCTCATCCCTGTGCCGCTGACCAGCGAGAGCCTGCTGTCAGACTGGCCTGCTGCCAACTCTGCCCCGGCGCCCCGGTAATCGGCAAGGCTGCCCCGGTGTGGACAAAACCCCCCCCTGCTCAGGGCTGGGGGCGGCCGGCGTTGTGCTGGGCCGGCGTTTTATCGTGGCTGAAAAGGAACGCTGAGTTTCTGGGGGGAATGGTTGGATGAGAGGAGCCCCTGTGGCCCACTGGTGGTGTTTGGGCACATCAGCACTGCGTTAAGCGGCGCCGCCAGGCAGGACGGCCTCTGAGTCTCGGTGTTTTGTAGGCGAGCTCCTCCAGTAGATCCCGAGATTCTGCGCACCATGAAGAAAGTGGGGTTCATCGGCTACGCCCCAAACCCCAGGACCAAACTGCGCAACCAGGTACGAGCTCTGAGCAGGGCGCTGCGCCCGGGGCTGCTGGCACCTCGCTCTGTGGCAGGGAAGCTCTGAGCTGTTTGCTCTGCAGGTTTGTGGACGTGCCGTGTCCCTGCCCTCGGGAAAGCACTGCTGCGTTTCGCCCCTGCCCGCAGCACCGCTGTAGTTTCCCCACAGTGATAAGTCCCTCGTAAGAAGGAAGGTGTGGAGGACTCGTGCAGGTTAAGGGAGGGCCCCGCTCCTTTCTGGTTTATTCATTTGCTCATTTGGGGAGGCAGGAAAGCCCGGGAGCTGCTTGTTTCGGTTCGCGGTGCTTCACCTCAGGATTCAGCTGCTCTTCCCTTCTCCTCTCCCTCCCAGATCCCCTATCGGTTAAAAGAGGCAGACAATGAGTTTGACAGCTTCAGCCAAGTTCCCGAGTCCCCGATTGGACGGGAGGAGGAGCCTCACCTCTACATGGTGGCCAAGAAGTACAGGAAGGTAACCTTTGAAGGACCCTCGTGGGCTCAAGCACCAGCTTACGTCTCCGTGGGGAGACCTGGACGTTTTGTGGATGCCCTGTGGCGCGGGAGCGCGTCTGTTTGACACGCTGCATCTCTCCCCAGGTCACAATCAAATACTCCAAACTGGGGCTGGAAGATTTTGATTTCAAGCATTATAACAAGACTCTGTTTGCAGGCCTGGAGCCCCACATCCCCAACGCCTACTGCAACTGCATGATCCAGGTGGGAGGTGCCCAGCCCCGCCGGGGCCGTTGCAGCCACAGGGCCGCTCCTGATGCCTCTGTCTCTGCTAGGTGCTGTATTTCTTGGAGCCCGTCCGCTGCCTGGTCCAGAACCACCTGTGCCAGAAGGAGTTCTGCCTGGGCTGTGAGCTGGGTCTGCTCTTCCACATGCTGGATCTGTCCCGAGGAGACCCCTGCCAGGTCAGTGGCAAGCCCAGACGATGTGAGGCAAGAGTAATGTGGGCAAGAGATCACGGAGGAGCAGGGTGGTGGTGCGTCCTGAGGAGGTGGCATCAGACAGATGGAAACTCCTGTCATTTGATGGCTGACTTACCACTCTTGCTCCATCCCCAGGGAAGCAACTTCTTGCGGGCTTTCCGTACCATCCCGGAGGCTTCAGCTCTGGGGCTGATCCTGGCTGACTCAGACGAAGCCACAGGGAAAGTGAACCTGGGCCGGCTGATTCAGAGCTGGAACCGTTTCATCCTTACCCAGCTGCACCAGGAGACCCAGGAGCAGGAGGGACCACAGGCGTATCGGGGGGCGGGCAGCAGGTAACTCCCCGACCTGAGGGAAGGGCACGGAGAAGTGGGTCAGGAGAGGGTCTGGCTCCCAGAGGCCCCATCTGTCCCACAGGCAGGGGTCTGCATGGGAACGTGCGTGTCTGCAGCCGTCCCTGCAGTGGGATTTGAACCTCTGTCGACTCTGGGCCCACTCCTGCGTGCGGAGATACGTGGGTCCCCAGAGCGTGGGCTGCTGCACCGCCCGTCCCTGCTCAGCAGGCGTTTTTGGGGTCCCGCTAAACCAGGTGCTCCTTTTTCTCCCCTTTCCAGCACCTTTGGGTCCTCGGGGGATTCGGTTATCGGGCAGCTGTTCAGCTGTGAGGTGGAGAACTGCAGCATGTGCCGCTGTGGGAAGGAAACCGTCCGCGTGTCCTCCACGCTGCTCTTCACCCTCTCCTACCCCGAGAGCGCTGGTAACAGGCGGGGCGGCAGGGCTTGCAGGTTTCACCCCGCTGCCTTTCCCTTGGGCAGGGCAGCTGAGCGGGAGGGTTTGTGATCTGTGCGGATGAGCCGTGGTTCTCTGGTTGGTTTTTTTGACACCTGAGGAACTCCTGCAGCCGTCTGTCCTGGGCTGCAGGCCCAGCAGTCGAGCTCTGGGATGCGGGAAGGCAGATCTGGGGGTTGACCTTCTCCCTGGTGGTTGTGAGGGAAACCCCAGAGGTCTGGCTGAGCTCAGTCAGTAAAGATGTGTGTGTTGGAAGGTGACGTTGTCCTTTCTCCCTTCAGAAAAACCAGTCAAAGACTACGAGTTTGCCCAGATTCTAAAGAGAAGCATCTGCTTGGAGCAGAACACGCAGGCTTGGTGTGAGAACTGCGAGAAGTACCAGCCCACGGTGAGCCAGAGGGGGAGCTGCAGGCTGGGGCTTGGAGCGAGGCGTGAGTGCTTCAGGCTGAGCAGGGGCAGCTTCTGCATGGGTCGGCAGGGAACCTGAGTGGATGCAGCGGGTTTGGTTCCTCACCTGGTCTGTGAGCCGGTGTGGGGCAGGGTATCCATGGCCTGGTGGGGCTGGAATGCGAGTCATGCGGGTCCATCTGAAGCCCCTGGGGCAGGGGAAGCCCCTAGGAGCCAAGCACGCCTGTTCTGATGCAGCCTCTGAGGCTCTGGGGCTGTGGGAGTCTGCTTCCTGCCCCAGTTTCCCTTACAGTACGCCCCGTGCCCATCAGGCAGCGTGGGGGCAAAGACTGGAAGAGGGGAAAGGATGGCGCGTGCTGCATCCGGCTGCCAGCCTTTCCTGCGGCTCTTGGAGTTGCCCTCCTCCCATCTCCCGCTCTTTCCCCAGGTCCAGACTAGGAATATCCGCTGCCTGCCAGATGTCCTGGTCATTAACTGTGAGGTGAACAGCTCCAAGGAAGCAGATTTCTGGAAGACGCAGGCTGAGGTGGGGGAGACACTTTGGGGCAGAAGCAGGCTTGTCCTCCCTGGCACACGGGGTTTCCATTCTTCGGAAGCGTTTTGGCTGTGATCTTGCTGTTCCTAACAGTCTCTTGCTCTCCACCCAAGCATCACCATACTTTGTCTGCAGAGGACTTGGTGTTTGGTCATGCACGCAGCATGAGCTGTGCATTTGGAGTTGGAAAAGACGAGATCTGCTGCCGTGACAAAGCTGACAGGACTTCAGTAGAGTCACGCTTTCATTCCCCCAACCCCTAGGACCTAGGAGCAACGAGGCAGTGCCTGCTTCCCCAAGTACACGCAGCAGAGCTGGTGGACGGCTGGGTTTCCCTTGCTGTCTTTTTCCCTGTCACTGACTTTGCAGTCTCTGTCTTTTCCTTGCTGCTGGCCTGGTTGTCACCCACGTGTTCCCGAGCCCTGCCTGTCGCTCCGTGCTGACGCTTCCCTGTGTTTCGTTGTCAGTATGCCTTTCAGAGAGCCCTGATGAAGAGAGGAGGCTTTGAGATCACCAAAGGCAAAGAGATCTCTCTTGGGGATTGGTAGGTGACTGTTCCTGGGGTGGCAGCGATGCCTTCTGGATTGCTCCAGAATTCAGGGCCATTTCTCATTTAGTAATCATTCCACAACCTACCTGCCTTGCTTCTTGTGGACCCTAAACTGGAGCAGTCTCTCTGCTGCTAAGACTGACCCCGTGCAGGCGCTCAGATACCCTCGTAATCCACAAGGGTTGTTCGTGTCCCCTTGTGACCCTCTTTCGAGCCCTCACTCTCCACTGTCCATCCCTTTTCAGGCTGACAAAAGACTCAGGGCTACGTATCAGCCCTTCTTGGTTGACCTCGGCCTCCCCGGGGCTCTGATCTAGGCAGATGCACAGGAAGGTTTATAAAGGAATGGGTGGGTGGTGGCCCGGGTCCTGCTGCAGGGAATCTGACCGCGGCCGCATCTCATGAGTGCCTCCAGCTCTGCCTTCTGCGATTCTCCTTGCAGGAAGGAACTGGGAAACCCCGAGGTGGGGCACTCGTATCCCTCAGTGGAGGAACTGAAGAACATTTGGATCCCGCACGCCATCAAGATGAGGCTGACCAAGAATAAGGAGCTGGACGTGTGCAACTGGAGCGAAAGCGATGAGGTAAAGGCTGACGACAGCCCTGTGGGACGGCGGGAACAGAGCGGCTGTAGGGCCGCTTCCTGTCGAGGGATGGGGCGAGAGAGAAAGGGGCCGTCTGGGAGGTGCCTCGAGTTGAGCCCAGCCTGGACAACCCTGCGTGTGTGAGCTCTGGGGTTTGGGATGGGGTTTGGGAAGCGCCAGAAGGCAGGTGAGACTCAGACGTTTTCCTCTGCTGTTCCTCCCCCAGCTGAGTCCGTCCGATGACCCCGAGTCGGTTTACGTCTACGATCTCATGGCCACAGTTGTCCACATCCTGGATTCCCGCACGGGGGGCAGCCTGGTGGGTCACATCAAAGTGGGAGAGACCTACCACCAAAGGAAGGAGGTGAGGTGCTCTCGGGCCTGGGGCGCTCCTGCCTCCCCAGGAGTCGGTGCTCAGAGGTTCAGGAGCTGGGCTGTCTAACGGAACCGTTCCCAGCGCTCTTGCTCTCTCACTGAAGTCTGAGTGGGACTTAGTGGATGCGGCAGGCAGCCTTCAGCAGGTGGCTGCTGCTCAGGCACCCTATGGGGAGGAAAGGGCTGAAGAGGGACTCTTCCCACTCTTCTGGGGCTGGTTCCTCCTGGGTCGCGGGCGCATTGCCAGCCTGCACTTGTGGTTCCAGGTAGGGGCTGTGACTTCATCTCCCTTCCAGAGGAAGCGGGGCTGGTCTGGGCAGCGCTCTTGTTTGGTGGAGATGCTCAAACCAGGAGTTCCCAGAGTGTGTCAAGACCGCATCCCTGCCTGTGTTTGTTGCATCTCGGTGGAGTGCCCGTCCAGCCCCAGAGCTTCTGTGCACTTGTCACCACCCAGGCCAGCAGGGATTTCCCCACAGTGTCCCAGGAAGGAAGGGAGTTCCCACTTGGTCACACCCCTCTCCAGCAGCTGGTAGAGGAGTCGCTGCGTTTGCCTGGGGGGCTGTAATGCCTGTGCCTCTCTCCACAGGGAGTCACACACCAGCAGTGGTATCTCTTCAACGACTTCCTCATTGAGCCTGTGGATAAGGCAAGCGCCCCCGGCTGCTGGCGAGGGAGCCCAGCCGCTCCTCCCCTGGTGCTGAGCCGCGGGGTTTGGGGATTGCTGCTGCAGGGGGGGCTCTGCCACGTCCCTGTCCCTCCTCCCTGCAGTGCGAGGCGGTGCAGTTTGACATGAGCTGGAAGGTGCCGGCCATCCTGTACTACGCCCGGAGGAACCTCAACTCCAAGTACAACCTTGTCAGTGAGTGTCTGAGCGGAGCTGGCTGTGGGGGGCAAGCTGTGTGCTCCCAGCTGATCCCCCTTCCCTTCTCCTGCAGTCAAGAACCCAATTGAAGCCAGCGTGCTACTGGCAGAGGCCTCTCTGGCTCGCAAGCAGCGCAAGTGCCATGCCACCTTCATCCCCCTCATGCTGAGTGAGATGCCACAGGCGGGCGACCTGGTGGGGCTGGATGCCGAGTTTGTCACGCTGAATGAGGTCGGGCAGCGGGGCACAGGGCTGTGACTGGGCCAGGTGACGCGGGGCTGCAGGAGCTCTCTGTCCCTGAGCTCCCTCTGGTCTGTTGCAGGAGGAGGCTGAGCTGCGCAGTGATGGCACCAAATCTACCATCAAGCCCAGCCAGATGTCGGTGGCCAGGATCACGTGCGTGCGGGGTCAGGGTCCTAACGAGGGCGTCCCCTTCATTGATGACTACATCTCCACCCAAGAGCAGGTACGGTGCCCCCGGTGGCTTTGTGCAGGGGCGGCACCGCCTCTCCTGCTGCTCCCTGGAGGCATTACCTGGGACAATGGCAGCACCCGCCCTGGGACACCGGGAGGAGCAGAGGGGGTACAGATCCTGTGGGTGCCCCTGCCTGCCCCAGCCCGGCACCCTGTGCTCTGTCAGCGCAGGTGGTGGATTACCTGACGCAGTACTCGGGGATCAAGCCCGGAGACTTGGATGCCAAGATCTCCTCGAAGCACCTCACCACTCTCAAATCCACCTACCTGAAGCTGCGCTTCCTCATCGACGTGGGTGTCAAGTTTGTGGGCCATGGGCTGCAGAAGGATTTCCGTGTCATCAACCTCATGGTGAGAGCACTGAGCCCCATCCCTGGAGCCCCACGATGTCCTGGGGGGCGGGGGGGGGCCCGTAGCAACCCCTGCACGTGGAACTGTGCGCCAGCAGCAGCAGCCTCTGCCTTCCAGGTGCCCAAGGACCAGGTGATCGACACCGTGTACCTGTTCCACATCCCAAGGAAGAGAATGATTTCCCTGCGCTTCCTCGCCTGGTACTTCCTGGGTCAGTGGCTGCATCCTGCGCTCCGGGGGGCTGCTGAGCACGGCTTCCCCGGGCTTCTCTCCCCCTGGGACCACGTGGGGAGCCCCGCACTGAGCCGGGCTTCCCCTGCAGACCTGAAGATCCAAGGTGAGACCCACGACAGCATTGAGGATGCGCGCACGGCTCTGCAGCTGTACCGCAAATACCTGGAGCTGAGCCAGGGGGGCAGCGAGCCGGACGACTTCCGCAAGGTGCTGAAGGCCCTCTATGAGAAGGGCCGCAAGCTGGACTGGAAGGTGCCCGAGCCCGACAGCCAGAGCAGCCCCAAGCGTAAGCGCCGGGACCCCGACCCCCTGCCCCCCACCCTGCCCGCCCTGACTCCACTTCATCTCCGCAGATGGGGCCGTGTTTCCGCCCGTGCTGGCGCTGTGATGGGGACGAAGAGCGTTGGCACTGGAACCAGCAGCGGGGCCGGGGCTGCCCAGGGCTCAGCGCTGCCTCCGAGCACGCGGCCCCGCACTCCCCGCCGGTACCGGGAGGGGCCGCTCGTGCCGGCAGTACGGCGGCACGGCCCGTGTTCTCCGCCCGCCGGTTCGGGCGCAGCCATAAAGCCGCCTCGGAGCTCGCCTCGCGCCGCCCTTCTTTTGCCGCGGGACCGGGGACCGGAGCGCGGGGGGGCGGGGCTACAGAGAGGCGGCGGGGACATGAAAACAAGGCGGGAGTGGCTACACGCAGGAAAAGGGGCGGAGTCGCCACAGCCCCCGCCCCCTGGGGCCGACCGCCACGCGGGCCGGGTCCTGCCGGCTCCGGGCCTTTCTCCGCCGGGGGGTGGCCGAGGCGCTGCCTGCGCGCGGGGCGGCCCGGCCGAGCTCCGAGGAGCGGCCTCGACCCCACGGCAACCGCCGCCGCCCCGGCAGCCTCCATCGCCGCCCTCCCGGAGGGGCCGTTCTCCGCCGTAGAG